TTTAGGAAGAGGTCGTGGAATTTCATAGGCCTTGAGTTATAACCAGTTTACCAAAATCCCACATCCCCGAACTAGGAATTGGCCCAGATGATAATAAATCCAACCTGTGTTCCCGCCTTCCATTGCGCCTTCTTGGGCACGGCGTCGCACGATCCCTGGGGATAAAAATGGCATCCCCTCAAGTTTTGCAACACAGCTGGACCACACCGGATACAGGCAAGCTTGAGTGTCTTGCTGTGACCTCAAAACCTCACCTCCCAGCTACCACGTGGGCTGGCTGCCTGAGGGACCCCTGGGCCCTGGTGTGGGCGAGTGCCCTCTAGCGTCCACGTTTCACGTTGCAACTGTGACCGAAGCCGGTGTCCTCAGGTCAGGCATGAGCTTCCGCCTGTTGGGGTCAATTTTCCAGGACCTCAAACTAAGCCAGGAAAAATCTCGCCCCGTCTGAAAATGGAGAGGCTTCGCTCAGGGCCAAAAGTCTAGACCGCAGGAGGAAGCTCTTCTTCTGATGGCATAGGACAGTGGCCAGCGGACTAGCTCCCCCTTGGCCGATCAGAGTCTGCGCACAACGCCTCTTTAACCAGGGCGATTCCTATCGAGCTCCCAGGGAAGGCCAGTGGCATCGTTCTCGCCAGGCTTGAGGTGAGAGACAAGCACCCACCTGCCATTTCCTTCCCGCCCAGGGCACATGGCACGCGCAGTTTTCTACAAAGGACCCCTTTTCAAATACCTCCCTATTTTCATCAATGCACTCATGTCCCCAATATAGATGAGGCGGTCTCCAGAGTCAGAAAACCTGTTTTTCAAGTTCCTGTGGAAGTTCTGCTTATAGTCTACTTTGGAATACAGAATCTATGGGATTGACCACAGACTCATGGTCTGTGCTTATTGTTCATAAGCAAAAGAGCTCAGCTGCGTTCCAGTGAAACTTTATTTGTAGAGTGGGCCAGGGGCCGTTTTCGGCTCGTGGGTCCTAATTCACAGATCCCTAGAAGAGATCAGTGGATGGAGAAAGATGACTGTAACTATACCGGGGATTTAAACTGGGCAGAAGTGGAAGAAAACCCGAATGAAGTTGTTGAAAGCCCACGGCTATGGAGGACAGGAACCGGGTTTGTTAAGAACCAGACTTTAGAATTTTCATTCTGGAATTTGAAGAAACCCTCAGAAACTCAAGCTGGGAAAGGATCATCTTTATTATTTTTTTTATATTTTTTTATTTATTTTTGAGAGATAGAGAGACAGAGCACGAACTGGGGAGGGGCAGAGAGAGAGGGAG